TGCAGCGTATGTGAAAAAAAGAAATCCGCGAGAATTAATCGTGTCGAGACGCGGCAAATTTCTCTCAGCGACAAATGCAACGATTAACCATTCCATTTTTCAACGACAAGTAAGTGAGACCCCTCCCCATCGGAGTTCGTCCAGCAATGTGAATAGCTCCCGTGTGACAGGAAAAAACAGCTATAAAAAACATTTCCTCAGACAAAATTCAAATACGTTTCTCCCGCTGGGGATTCCCCATCGTATAGAGTGCCCTGATTAATAGCTGCGAGTCCTCATAAGCACTGTCCACGCCGAAAACATAGTCCTGCTACCTAAAACTTCACCACCATTTCGACTGGAACTCGAATGCTGAGAGATTTCATCTCCAACCACTTTGAAGTTTGTCCTTTTTTCGCCATTTTGGAATATCAAATATAACTGTTTCCGGGCGTAGGGTTTGCCGACGGGGAGGGGCATTTTGGTTGCTTCACTAGCTCTGGTTTACAAGTCTCACTCTAGAACCTGTGAACTCTTGTGAAGCTGGAGCAAGCTCGTCAAGCCATCATGGTAAAACCTGTCAACTCGAGAAGAGGCTGTCTAAATGGAAGTCGTTAGAGTGCAAGGTGCCCCCCCCTCGTCGTCAAACAGCGCCCTATTCCTGTGTTCTCCTAATTTCAAAATATCAAATCTAATAATTACAGAGAAATATGATTGAATCACTGAATTTGCCCCGACGAAAACTAATGGACACAGGTACACAAAAGGCGTTATCTGTCGAGAATGTAAACGAGGCTAGTTATTTCGAAATTGTACTGTTTTCACTTTTCACTCCCGGAGATTTCAACAGGAAGTTGGAGTTGAAAAAAAGAAGTTTAACAGAGTTACCTTCGCATGTTGCATGTCAGATTTCAGGCGAGCGGCAATGTTGGTGTGTTGCTGAAAACCGATAATGCTGCCGGATTCGGTATGAACATTCAAGGCAGCATGAATGAGGGAATCTATGTAAAGACGATCGTTCCTATGGGCGCAGCGGATCAAACTGGCAATATTCTCCCTGGTAAGTAACTACAAAAATTACTATCAGCACCGAAACCGTTGAAGAACTTTAATAAAAAGTGAGAACACGTGCATAACCGCCTTGAAAATAGCTTGGGTTGGGCAACTTACAGTGGCAGTCAATTCATTCATCAGCAGACGAACGGTTACACATTTTGCGACTGAATTATAGCAGGAATCCCTTCGTTCCTCATGTCTGTATGGGACCATATGTACTTGTGGTTTTGAGCGTTGCTGTACTCTCTCCTTTCTACTGCCTATCGCGCATGCAGCGCTTCGCTTCTTCGCTTTCTGGAAATCAACTTGAAGGAGAGAATCTATTTGGAGCATGTTTTTTCATCATGATCACTTCTAGTCACCGCCGCAAACCACGTGCAAGCGGGATGGTTTCAGTCCCGCGTGGGGTCAGAACTTCTGCAAGCGTTTCCACTGTTCTGTCTTCGTTCTTCACTTGTGAGCCATAACCATCTACAACTTCATATAGAAGTCGCTTATCGTGGGGGCGTTAGGGCATCTGCCCACACTTCTATAAGGAATATAGTTCGCCATGTTCAGGCCATTTTCATGTTTTTCATTTTTTATGAGGAGATAACACGGGTAGCAATAAGGGCCTTAAAATGTAGCATCCGGTTTTGAAAGGTGCAAGTATGACTGAGAGCCAGGGGATCGAAAATCGCTTTGACCCAGGAGGTGACGGACACCGGTGTAAGTAGATAAAACGAAGGCTTAGTAGGGGAATTGTTTTCCCTACTTAAGAGAACTGGTTCACCTAATCTGGAAATTTTCGCACTGTCCCCCTAGGTAGGATTGTTCATTTGCAGGCGCTCGGGCCTTGAAGAGACCTTTCTCAATGCTACTCCACTTTACATGTATTCAGCGACTATCCTTGAAATGCATCAATAGCGTGAACGTTTGGATTCCGATAATGGGATTTGCTAACAGAAAAAAAACTCTGATTGCAATCAATCGCTCACTGTAGCGTAGGCTTCAAGGCAGTTGGCACGATAAATCCCTAAATACGAATAGGATTAATGAGACTGGCATGGCAGAATTCCGTGACCCTGAACAGGCGCTGCGTAGCGCCTTTTCCAAGAGGGTACCCTTATAGCATCCCATAGAGCAATAACATACCGACCTGGACGCTCACCCCGCCTGCTCGCCTGGACGTATAGCATCACAGCACGAGGACTTGCCGTTGTGGACCGCCCGTGCCTACGTGTAATGTAGTGTAACGTAGAGCGACGTAGAACGTACTGCTGGCTTTTTGCCAGCAGTAAACGGTTCATCGGTAGACTCGTCCAAAGCAGCGCCCGCCCCAGCCGTTCGCTCGTCCACTGCCGCAGTGCAGCGAAGAAATAAAGCCCCCATTTCGTTTCCCCACCATTTCGCCCCGTTTTTTCACTATTTTTGCATTACTGGACACCTTTGGCTCTTTTTCAAAGTGTACACGAAATTATCGTGCCAACTGCCTTTAAACATGGAACTGGTATCAAGAGTGTATCAAAGTGGCGTGTCATATCGCTCGCAAGGCACGTCTACG